AATCATATTATTCCTTGATGTAAGCCCACTGATATCTAAAGAGCCTTAAGTAGTTTCGTTAAGCTTATTATTTAAGATATTTATTTCTACGCAATCTGTAAAGTCTTTAATATAATTAATCTTAAAAGTCATATTACTATTTCAGATAATCTGGAGAGATTTATTTATTTAAAATTCTTCTTTATATAATCTTAACTAAATTTATTAATCATATTATTCCATATAATCCCACTGGTATCTGAAGCACTTTTAAATAGATTAGTGAATCGAGCTATTATCATTATTCTACAATTCTATCTGAAGATCCTTGATTCATCTGTGCACTATTTTAAAAATCCGAAATAATCAGCAATTGATTCATATTTGAATCATTTTAGAAATCCTCAGTAATCAGCAAAATCGATTGTTCTTTGAATCATTTTAACAACCCGCGATAATCAGTGGATTGTAAATAACAGTTATTCGTTTTCTAGTAATTACCAAATAGGTTTTTATTTTTGCACATATCTCATATGCCTTTGATTAGCAAATTTTAACGTTTTTCTTGAAATAGAACTCTTGCTCTGTATACGCATACATAATCTCTGCTTTCAATATATTTTCAAGCTCTTCCAGAATGTTCAGTGATAAAGCCGTTTGATATCAGGTGTCTACTGTATACTCATGGACTTTACATTAGTTCCTGGTACTGCAATCGAAGAGATTAATTACAAAACATTGGCAATATTTGTATTAACAGGTTTCATTAGATATAACAAAATATGTTTGGGATATTAGATTAGAAGTTGACTTTCAGTGATAGATATATTGTATTACTGTATGGGTTCTTATGGAAACACATTATTGGCTGAAATACTATACTCAGTGATAAACATTTTCAGCTGAAAATGAAGGTTAAACTTAAAAAAAAAAATGCTAATATTAACAAATCAATGTAAGTTTATTCTAATGTCTAAAGAATTTTAAAATTTGATTGAGATTTAACCACAACTCCTGATTGCCTTCTTATTTATCATTAGCTAATATTTTATACATTTCACTTTAAGTATATTTTTAAAGCCAAAGATATATTTGATTCCATATTTTTCACATAAATAAATCTAAAGCAGAGAGTAACTCATAAAAAAATTGTTATCAATCACAGACATCAGTAAAGTTTCGAGAAGGCGACAAAAACCTCGATTCAACTTTGTGTGTTTTACGAGTAAAGCAATATTTAATATCGGAGAACTTGGGGCGTTTCCGAAAGGGGAACTCCCAATCAGCATGAGCTTAGTTCATATCTATAAAGAATTTTCAATATTCCGTTATATTAAATAGTTGAGCAAGTCTAAGTAAAATCAATATTTTCGAATTTTTAATTATTACGAATTAAAATCGTTTTCAATAATTAATCTAGTTTGCACAGCACCATAAATAACTCATTAGCTTTACAGTTACAGTTATTATAGCTTTCATTCGTGCTTATAACGGGATTTGCATTCGTATCTATCAGAGAATTCCGATTTCGCTTCGCCTGCCACCTTATCTTAAAAGAGCTTTATACACAGACACATACAAACAACCATATACATGTGTGTGTATGTACACACACACACACACACACACACACTTAACTGTCATAATATCGAAATGCTCTATCGTAATTGCCGTAGAGGAGGGGATATTATTCAGCATTATTTAACGCTCGGCTTCGGAGATAAAAATTTGAATCAATGCGTTGGCGTTGCCGTCGCCTTTGCCGTTGGCGTTGGTGAGCTGTCATAAAAAACACTTCACTCTCAATACGTAAGCGATATGTATACATAGTGTAGGTACATCTGTGCATACACTGTATCACCGTGTCTCGATAAGCCACATAATAATCATCGTGTGCGTGTGTGAGTGTGTGCATGAATGTGTGTAGCTGTGGGCTTGGCCCACCTCTTTCTAACCGCATTGCAAGCCAATGCGCAATTTGCTTGTTAAGTTGTCCGTGACGCGAAGCTCGTTGCGGCTCTTGTTGTTGTTGTTCTTGTTGCTGCAGCAGGTGCTGCAACGGAATTAGTTTAACAGCAATTTGAGCTTTTTGTCTGTGCTTTGGCCCAGGCATGCATGCAATCAGAGGCATTAAACACACACACATGCACACATTCAAATACACAACACATATATACCGCCAGCACACAGGATCTACTATACATCCTCAGCTGCCTACGTGCGACACAGCACGTTGGCCCCCCCTCCCATCATGCTGCGACTTGACAAAATCCACCACAACCCAGCCCACACCACCCAACCCGGTGGGCAATCGTTGATTTGTTGTCGTATTCAGTTCGTGAAATCGTTAACTCGCTTGAGTCGAAACACAGAGAGCGCGTTGTCTACGCTCGCACACACACTTGCTCTCGCGCGCTCTCTTTCTCTCTATTTCTCGTGTGTTGAGTTTCGTTGTTAGCTTTTTCAGTCGCAACTCAACACAGTTGGCGTATGAGCAGGATATTTGCTGCTGCTGCCGCCGCTGCCGCTGCTACATGAATTTGGCTGACTTTGACTTGATGCGCTGTTTAGCTTGGCTCAGCTCAGGGGCCGGTGCTCTGGATTTGGGTCATGCTCGCACGTATGTATTTCGGTGGGTGGCTGGGTTGCAGTCACTCCAAGGCCACAGCATCGAGTAGCAGCTAGTGAAATGCCCCAGAAATCGTCAGATTTGTTTATTGTAATTGATTTGGCATTTACTATGTATGCGATTCAATATATGTATTTCAATTGCCAAATATAGAAAGCAAATATTTTCAAACTTAAGGCTACAGGGTATCGCCTAGACGGAAACTTTCGTCTCTGTTGATTTATATATTTCAGATTGCTTTGCATACCCTGAATCCATTCAAAATGGGAAATCAGGGTATAATGGTTCTATTAAAATGTATGTAACAGTCAGAAGGGGGCGTGACTATGTATATAAATTCTTTATCGGAACGAAAAGCTGAGTCAATTTAGCTCATCAATCTCAAAAGATATGAAAGCTAGGGATTTGAAACCTTTTAAAAACTTTATTTGTATTTTAGTTATTATCACAAAATTTCGCCGAGTTTAGGGTATCTGCTAGCCGGACACCCCCGACTAGAGTGTTCTTACTTGTCCACATATCAAGTATTTTAATTGGACTCGTTTCGATTGCAGATTGTGGCACGGCGTCATGACCTGAAGCTGATTGTCACATCCGCCACCATGGACTCGACCAAGTTTGCCACGTTCTTCGGCAATGTGCCGACATTCACCATACCCGGCCGGACATTTCCGGTGGATGTGATGTTCAGCAAGAATGCGTGCGAGGATTACGTGGAGTCGGCTGTGAAGCAGGCGCTGCAGGTGCACTTGACGCCGAATGAAGGCGACATGCTGATCTTTATGCCCGGCCAGGAGGACATCGAGGTCACGTGCGAGGTGCTGGAGGAGCGCCTGAGCGAGATCGACAATGCACCCGAGCTGAGCATCTTGCCCATCTACTCGCAGCTGCCGTCCGATCTGCAGGCGAAGATCTTTCAAAAGTCCGCCGATGGCGTACGCAAATGCGTTGTGGCCACCAATATAGCGGAGACATCGCTGACGGTGGACGGCATCATCTATGTCATTGACTCCGGCTACTGCAAGCTGAAGGTCTACAATCCGCGCATTGGCATGGACGCCCTGCAAATCTATCCCATTTCGCAGGCGAATGCCAATCAGCGTTCGGGTCGTGCCGGACGTACAGGTCCTGGTCAGGCTTTTCGCTTGTACACACAGCGCCAGTACAAGGACGAACTGCTGCCGCTGACCGTGCCCGAAATCCAGCGCACCAATCTGGCCAATACGGTGCTGCTGCTCAAGTCCCTGGGCGTGGTCGATCTGCTGCAGTTCCATTTCATGGATCCCCCGCCGCAGGACAACATCCTGAACTCCCTTTACCAGCTGTGGATATTGGGCGCACTGGATCACACAGGCGCCTTGACCACGCTGGGCCGACAAATGGCCGAGTTCCCACTGGATCCGCCACAGTGTCAGATGCTCATCGTCGCCTGCCAAATGGAGTGCAGCGCCGAGGTGCTAATCATAGGTGAGATGACCGAGAGAGATGTGAAAATCTTGTGGCAAACTGACTCGAATCCTCTCTTATCCTCTCTTCTTGTAGTATCCATGCTGTCTGTGCCATCCATATTCTATCGCCCCAAGGGACGGGAGGAGGAGGCGGATGGCGTGCGCGAGAAGTTCCAGGTGCCCGAATCGGATCACTTGACCTACCTCAATGTCTATCTGCAGTGGAAGCAGAACAGGTAAGCAAAAGGACAAATGAAGCAGCACTCTCACTCACTCTCTCTCTCTCTCTCTCTCTGTTTCGCTCTCTTTCACGCTGCCCCATACAGCTATAGCTCCACGTGGTGCAACGAGCACTTCATACACATTAAGGCCATGCGCAAGGTGCGCGAGGTGCGACAGCAGCTGAAGGACATTATGACACAGCAGAAGATGAACGTCAAGTCGTGCGGCACCGATTGGGACATTGTGCGCAAGTGCATCTGCTCCGCCTACTTCTATCAAGCGGCACGGCTCAAGGGCATCGGCGAGTATGTGAATCTGCGCACGGGCATGCCCTGCCATTTGCATCCCACATCGGCACTGTACGGGCTGGGCACCACGCCCGACTATGTCGTCTACCATGAGCTGATCATGACCGCCAAGGAGTATATGCAGTGTGCCACCGCTGTCGATGGCTACTGGCTGGCGGAGCTCGGTCCGATGTTCTTCTCGGTGAAGGAGACGGGACGCAGCGGACGCGACAAAAAGAAACTGGCCGCCGAGCATCTCAAGGAGATGGAGGAGCAAATGTTGCAGGCCCAGCACGAGATGGAGGAGCGCAAACAGCTGGCCGCCCAGCGTGAGGAGCAGCTGGCGGGCAAGCAGGAGATCGCAACGCCAGGCAATGCAACGCCACGCCGCACACCCGCTCGCATTGGCCTCTAAAAATTAAGAACAATAATTAATACTTTTTATTGATATTGAGTGTATGTGTATTTGTATTTTGAATGTTCAGACCACCTTTTGGCTGTAGTTTTTTTTTTTTTTTTTTTTGTTCTCTATATCCATGAATAAATTGGCCAAATAGTGAGAATTGGCAAGATGAGAGATAATTGGTTGGCCGTTGCTGCGTCTTTCACAACGCAATGCTCGTTGTTTACCACTTGGAATTCGGCGCGACACTGGCATTCACCCCACTTGCACTCCATCCGGGAGTTCAGGACATTGTCCTCGCCATCGCTCATCTGCTGGCAGTCGGCGGTGCGGCGGCAATAGGCGCCGTACGGCACACGCAGCTCGCAGACTGTGCTGTTCAGCGTCTCGTCCCGTTTGGCATAGTGCTTCGGGCTGCAGCTGCAGCGATTGTTGTTGTCGCACATGCTGCCGGCCCCGAGCTGCACCTGGCATTGGGCGGAATTTGTGCAGCTGGTGGCATAGTCGACGCCTGGAATGCAGGCACTTCTGTTTTCATTGGACACCAGATCTTTGGGGCAGGCGCACTTGGCGGTCTGGGGCAGACAGATCGACGCGTCAACTGTTTCGCACATTGCATTGTTGCTGCAGTTTAGATCTGCAAGGATAAATAAATGGTCAGAATGTGGATGATTGCATATGGAATTCCAAGCACTCGCCCAATAGTGCCAGGCAGTTGCCCTCGTAGGATACAAAGTTTTCCTGGCATGTGCAGCGTTTCGTCTGACAATCGGCAAATGTGTCCATAGACTGGCATTGACGCGCCATCTCACAGCTGCCGTTCAGTGGCACCTTCAGCGACAGGCATCGACGTCTATCGTCGCTGGGCAGATACTCGGCGGCGCAGAAGCACTGCTGTGTCTGCGCATCGCATTCGGCATGGGGCAGTGTGCAGGGACACGGCCCGCCAACGATATTGTTCCGCTTTTCATCTTTGGGCTGGCAATCCACGCGCTCCTCGCTGTCGCCGCCACGTGCCGTGCAAATGCAGCGAGAATCGAGGCATTTGCCGCCCTCGAACTGCATGCATTGTTCATCTGTGAGGCAGCTCAGCTCAAGTAGGTCTTCGGCTGAGATTGTGCTCAGCGCATAAAATATAAACGACAAAATTAGAATGAATCGCATTTTTAACCTTTCTTTTTATGTACATATAATACATATGAATGCGCGAATATAAGTTCGCTCAAAATTCGCCGCCATTAACCGTTATAACGAACATAAGTGGAGCGATATATTTTCATTGATATGGCAGCACTACCCCATTCAGATTTTAAAAGTTACCCACACTGAAAATATCGATAGCATCCGACATCGATTTATTATTTCAAGCAACTCTACTTACGCATACAAGTTTATAAAACCAAGCAAAGCACCCGAAGCTACACAGTTAAATTCTCGTAAATAACTAAATAACTCGTTCGTGTCAAATTTCAAATAAAAAAAAATCAAATTAAAAGAAATAACAAAATGGTACGCCGTGGACGTTCAGCTAGCCCCCCACCATCAGCCAGACGGTAAGTTGCATTCCGCAGTTCACCTGTAAAAGCGTAAGAAAATCCAATTGGACAAAAGGCACCAAATTGGATGACGCGAAAAGAACACATGAAACGTTTTGTTTTCTTCTTTGTTGCAACACAGTTGCAACGATGCGCAATGTATTTTTCTGCTTTCGTTAATTGAACTGCGGGTAAATGAAATGTAGAGTAAGTTCTGGAAGTTTCCGTGTCGCAAGTTGTTACGTAACCGAAAATAACAGATAAACACGGAAATCGAGACGAAAACTGTGCAACGAGCAAAGTTCAAACGCGTGACAAAAACAATGCATGAACTATAATTTTAATAAATTTCTTTTCATTTTCTGTATTGCAGCACAGTACCGGCGCCAGCTCGCGCCGCTGCTCCAGCACCGGCTCCAGTGCCCGCACGTGCTGCCGCACCACCACCAGCACCGATGGCGGCACCACCAAGCGCCGTTGGCATGCCAGCACCACAGCAGCCCTCGATGTTCCAGCAAATGGCTGCAACCGCTGGAGGCGTTGCCGTTGGCTCGGCCATCGGTCACACCGTCGGACATGGACTCACATCGCTGTTCAGCGGATCGGGCGATAAGGAGGCCGCAGCGCCAGCCGCTGCCGCACCGGCTGCACCACAACAACAGCAGCCCTATTATGGCCAGCAAGCTCAGGCCAATGAGCCACAAGGCGCTTGCGCCTGGGAGATCAAACAGTTCCTGCAATGCGCTCAGGGTCAATCTGATCTGTCCCTGTGCGAGGGCTTCAATGAGGCTCTGCGACAGTGCAAGGTGCAGCATCATCTGCAGTAAACAACAACAACAACAACAACAACAAAAACAGCAGCTCCAATAACAACAACAAATTTAACATAAAAAGAACATAACCAAATCTCATCAATCGTTGGCGAAATGTTGAGCTTGAAGTAGGGTTTTTTTTTTTTTTTTTTTTGATATTCTGCGTTTTTGTTTGTTTCAATTAGTTTTACATATATAATTCATGATATTGTTGATGAGACAACAAATTGTTTAATATAGTCAAATTGTTCAATAGAAATTTAGCGCCGCGGCGCCCGCCAGCTACAAAAAAAAATCCTTGGCTGCCGGCGTCGTTGGCCCCAAAACAAAAAAAAAAACATGTATTTTATTTATATGTATTTGCATTGTAAAATTTGCATTAAATTGTGAAATGTTCCATTCGCTGGGCGCCTGCCAAGAGATCAGCCCTCGAAGCACGTGAGCCCCTCAGGAAGGATGACCTTGCACTTTGACGACGCACTGTGTACCAAAAATAGTTGCACTGATTCATGCAGCCGGCTGACAGAGCGAGCGGGAGAGGGAGAGAGCGAGCGAATGAGTGTGGTGTGGGAAGGGGAAGGGTTGCTCGATTCTGCAAACATCGCGTGAGTCGCTTTGTTATTGTTTTTGTTTTCAATCGCTTTGTGTGTTTGCTGCGCCAATTGAGACTTGTTTTGGTGAAATAAATGGATTGGGCCAAGTAAACAGAATCGATTATGATAAACATGTTTACGATGACAATGACGATGAGTGCAGGTAAGTGTATGTGTGTACATGTATGTATGTGTGTCTTCAATGTTTGTCTCTTTGTCGCGCTCACTGGCGCCCACTATGGCTGATGTATCTACCTCTCTGTCTTCAAACAATTTCTAGAATATTATGGAAATTGTGGAAAAATATTTTTGGCAATTTTCTATGTATTTAACTTAAAGTCATACAGTTACACATACATATGTATGTTTTTATGTATATTTGTATATGATATGACTGATATGTATGTAAATACATTTATATAAATATTTTTTAGCTCAATCTGAGCTAATATAAAATATTTTTTTTTTTTTTTTTTTATATACATATACATATATTTTTCTTTTAGTTATCTTGAATTGTTGATTTCATGAGTCTTGAAAGATACATAAATATGTAATTCTTTTTATTTTTTTTCTAATTACTTACAAAATTTATTGAAAAATAAGAGTCTTGTGGATCGTACGTCTCAGTTCCAGAAGTGAATACAACGATCCTGAATATTTTAGGCTTTCTTTAAATGTACTTATATCTATGTATTTAAGTACAAATACTAATTCTTGGAATCAATATTATTATAAATGGGATTGTTTACATTTAAATTAAATATAATTAACATCTTTCTTTCAATTTAGAATTTGGCGACAAAATTGAGTGTACAGCCGAGAGGATTGGATATGTTACATTCACTGGTATGGTATATCCTGTTCAATACACATATGTATAACCAGAATTTGTGACATGGCGAACGTACATACATACTACATACATACATATGTTGATGAATAACGATAGGGTGCTGAGATCGGTTTGGAGAGAGATTAATCTTAGATTTCTTGGCTGGGATTGGACACACTGCATCACACTGCATAAGTCTCACATCAGGAATTATGGTTAGGGGGCATGGATGTTATGGCCGCTGGCCCTAGTGATTTTCCTCGTTGTCCTCGTCGTCATCCTCCTCGTCCTGGTACTGCTTGTCGGCCTTCAGCAGCAAGCTCAGCTTGTTCTCCATGATCGATTTGGCTCGCACCGCCGCCTTCTGGCCCAATATAATGGCACGGCGAGTAACGCCCGTCGATTGGCTGCGTTGCCTAATTGGCGGTCCCCGAAATAGCGGTGGCGTCTCCAGCTGCTTCTCGAAGGCTCGAGTATGCAATTTGCTGCGCCCCTCCATGCTGGTGGTGACCAGCTTGAATAGCGGCGCCGTCTTATTGAATTCGATCGCCCCAACTTGCTGCTTGGACGAACTCTGGTTCAATAGATCGCCCAGCAAATTGTTCAAATCATCCCGTTCCTTATGTTCATCGCCCGCATTCTGGCGATCCTGCTCGCTATTCGGCTTCATTGGATACTTGTACTTCTTGGTCGTGCGCGTGCTCCGGTGCGGCATCGATATCTTGTGCGCCTTGATGCCCGGCATTTGCAGAGCGCTGGGCGAGCTTGGCTTAAAATGTGGCTTGTATGTGCTGCGGTAGCTCAGCTGGCTCCTCTTGATTGTGGGCGTTTTCAAGGTCAAGCTGTCGTCTTGCAGTGCCTCAGGCAGTCGCAGTTTCAGTGGTTGCGATTGACGCAACGCCCTCAGGCGCGTCTCATACGTTTCCAGATACTTGGACGCATTCTTGGTTGCCTTCAGAAAGGACATCTCGGGTGTTGTCAGCTTCTCTAACAGCGGATATTTGACGCTTCCGCTTTGTGGGCTTGCACTGGGCTTGGTTAGTGCACCCGGCTGCAGGGGTCGGGCGACCGGCGATGAGCTGTGCGCTGTGTGAGTCCTCGCCAATTGATCCTTCTTGTCAAGTATATGCATTATGGGTAACCTAGGTGTTTGTAATTTTTCTGATTTCTCATCTCCTTTGCCAGTTGGCTTCGCATTCTCGCGCAGAAACTTCAGCATATGGCTCATTTTGTTTCCCGGCATGACGGACTCCTCCGGAAGGGCCGCTCTCTCATTCGTTTCGCTTTCCGGCTGCTCGAATGCCAGCGTCGGCACCAATGGCCGATCCATCAATGTTTTCGGACGTTTCACTACTTTGTTTCTCTCAAATCTCTCGCCCACTGTCGCATAGGTGCGGTGCGCATGGAAACTGGCCCACACATTCGATGTGGGCATCATCAATGGGAAATAGTCGACACTGGAGCGCTTCTGGGCGCGCGTCTTTGGATAGTGGCGCATTGTGACCGGCAGTCGTGCATAGCCAACTGCTGCATTACTCTGTGCATTAATGGGTCGCTTCTCCAGAAAGCTCAGGTTTGAGCGCCGTTGCACCATGGCCACCGACATCTTCCTCATCAGGCGAGAGCGCACCGATCTGTAGGTGCTCAATATAGCGGAAACTGGACTCTGGCCAACGCCCTGGGTGTTGATTGTTTTGGACAATGCACGCCTCCAGCGGCCAAGTGCTGTTGGAAAAAAATGTATAAAAGAAATGTATTCATATTTGATTCCATACCTCCGAAGGGCAGCATACGAAACGAGCTGAATCCTGGAAGATTATTCATATTGTTCACGTTAACAGACTGTTTTCGAGTCGAAACGACTTAAGATTAGACAAATGGTATAACTTTCTAAAAGAATTGGCACAGTTTGCACAAATACTTATAGGACTTTATTAATTTTAGATTTCGTATAAATTTACTTCTGGCTCTTGTATAGCTTGCAACTAATTAGAAATTGTATGAAATGCGGAGATATATAATTTGGATTTTCTGTATGAGACAAATTGTACTTTTTCAACTGAATTTTGTCTGTGCTGTGCTTAAATGTATCAAATTTAACAACTGACCTTAGAAAAGCCGGCAAGGCCTACGTGTTAATTTTTGGGTTTGCTACTAAATCAACGTGCGATATTTATTTGAAACTATTTCCAATCGATAGCAGGCAGCGTACAAACTGTCAATCGAACAGTGTCGCACAACGTGCGAAGCATACTTTCTGGCGGCGCGTAATTTGAAATTCCTATGACTCGCATTTGATAGGATGTGAATGTAAAGCTAGTTTCAGTTGGCACTGAATATAGCATGACACTTGTTTAATAAAATATTAAAATTGTTAGACAAATGTTAAAAAAAAATATACATATATATTTATCAATATGTAGATGTATAAAAACAAAAGCAGAAATACAGAACACGATATGTGTGGTGGTTATCAAAGTGTTGCATAACGTAAGAAGCATAGTTTTTGGCGTTATCCCTTTTGAGTTTTCAACTAATGCAAGTGCGAACGTAAAGTAAATCGAAAATCGTTTCTTATAAAGTGTAAATTCCTAATACGTATTTATTTAAATAATTACATTACATTCACTTAACTAGATTCATTACAGGTATAATTGATAAATAAATGCTCCGGAAATTATAGAAACCTATTGGCACGTTGCAGTATTTGAAGGCGTCTCTCCTCAGCCGTTTGGCTGACGTTGAGTAACCGCTCAGTGCGATCCAAGAGATCTGCGCACTCATCACTCGCCGGGGCGCTTAGACGCTGTCGCTTGTTGACCGGCTGCATGGGCAAGTTTTCGGCCTGTCGTCGGGATCGCCAATGCGAGTGCGGCTCGTGAGGAACGTTTAAAGTATGTCGTTCGCACCGTTCCATGATGCGCTCCAGAGTGTCCAGCGGTTCGTTCAGAACGGTCAATGTTTTGCGTTCGACGGGGTGATGTTGCTGGCATTTGTCCAGTACAGCCTGCGCCTTTCGCAGCACCTGCTCATAGTCAAGCGGCTCCTGTTGGGGCGCCAATACAGTCGCCTCTTCGATCGGCTCTTCCTGTTGTGGATTCTCAGCTGCCGCCGCCGTCGCAGCTGCTGCTGCCTCTTCTGGCGATGGCCAATCGTAATACCAGTGCGTCGCAAAGTAACGCTGCATGCTGTGACGCCGGTAAACAATAGCCGCTGGTATCGAGGCGGCATTGCGTTGCAGGACAACATAGAGCCGCTCCTTGGCAAAGATGTCCACAATGTCCAGGTAGTTGGGACTGCCCGTGCGCAGCTGCAGCTCAAGCGTTTGTATCGCACGCAGCGCCACCGCCTCCACCTGAGCATCGTCCTCGCTCAGCTGGGCATAGTTGAGCAGCCATTCACAGAGAGCGTCCTGCGATTTGTCGCTTGTCGCCGGCAGCGGCGGCATCTCCGGCAGCTTGGCCTGCTCCAGAAGCTGCACGATCTTCGCCCGCTGCTCCCGCGATTGCCAGCCACTCACAAAGTACTCCAGGCGATTGGGCAACGGCGCCTGGGGCGGCAGCGGCTCCACGTAGACGCGCAGCTCTTGCGGCAGCTGGGGTCGATCATCCAGCTGCTCGCCCGCCACCAGCTGCAGGCGACGCACAGCCTCGTTGTACAGCTGAACACAGAACTGAGGCACCTGGCGACAGCGCCAGCAAATGGCTACATCCTTTAGCGACGCATAGCGCAGTCGCTCAAACAACTCGTCGCCCAGGTGCCGGAGCACCCACTCGCGCAGCTCCATCTGCTGCAGTGAGCTGCGACTGCGATGCGGCTGCTTGGCCAGAAATTGGACGGCGCATTGGAGTAGTGCGACCAGCTGCAGCTTCTGCTTGCCACGCGCCATGGTGCGGCAGTCGAAGATGCGAAAAGCGCGCAACGTCTCCAGCTGCAGTTGCACCGCCAGCTGTGCCTCTTCCGTCTGCTGCTGCTGCACAATCACCGCCACATAGTCGCAGCCGCTGCTCTTGACTAGGCTATGCAAACGTTGACGCGCCTCCGGCACCTGTTTCACATCCACAAAGCATATGATGCCATCGGCATTTCTCATCTGGTTCGGATTCGATGGCGGCATGCCCTTCAGTTTGTGGACGCACAGTGCCACACCGTGGGCCAGTCCCGTTATGTAGGCAGGCTGGCCAGGCGCATTCGCTCTCTGGCTCTGGCCCTCGCTCTGTACGGGCTGCTGCAGCACACCCCGATCCAAGGCATGCTCCATGACCAGTCCCACGCTGCTGTCGGGCAGCGAGATCAACAGCTTGAAATAGTGACGAGCGCCGGGCGTCTCCTGCTGGAGTGTGTGAGCCAGTAGCTCCCAGAGGTCGAGCTTCAGCCAGCATTGATCGTCCATGCCCGCTAGCAACTGGCGATAGTCGCAGGCCTCGCCCTGGCGATAGCGACGCATCAGACGCAACGGCTGCTCCGCCGTCTTCGTGTTCAACAGGCGCTCGCTCGACTCAGCCCCGAAGCTCAGCGGCAGGCAGGCGAAGAGCGCATCCTTCTGCTGCTGCACGCGGCGGTAGTTGCGCCATCGTCGCCAATATTGACGCATCAGACCCAGCTCGTAATCGGTGCGCCGTATATTCCGCTTGACTAGCTCCACAATCTGCTCATCCAGCAGTGCATCGTATATGGCCAGGGCGCTGTGATGCAGCCGGAACTCCCGTTTGCACAGCTCGTTCAATTGCTCATCGATCAATTGGTCCAGCAGGTGATTTCGCTGTGTCGTGCGCTCCGCCTCGATGCGTCGCTGGCGCTGGCGCTCCGCCTTCGCCTCTGCCTCTGCCTCTGCGGCAGCCGCGGCGGCCGCTTGCTGTGCCTGCTCCTCGCGCTTTTGCCTCTCCTTGGCCTGCTGCTGCTCGAACAGGCGCTGCTGTCGCTCACGTTCCGCCTGCTCTGCCTTCGCCTTTTGCAGCTCCAGCAGCTCCTGCTCACGCTGCTTGGCCGTGGCTATGGCCTGCTGCAGTGCAGCAAATTTGGCCTCATCGGCGGCCTTCTGCTGTCGCTGTTGCTCGGCAAGATCAGCAGCACTCGGGCCGTCCTTTGCCATGCTGGCAGCCGCTGCAGCTGCAAAACTAAAGCCAATGGCTGTGCTCGTACTCGGTTTGGCTGCTTCAGTTGTATTCCTGCCGAAGCCTACCAAGCCAAAGGCTTGTTGTTGTTGCTGCTGTTGTTGTTGCTGCTGTTGTTGCTTTTGCGGCATTTCAAAGCCGAAGATGTTGGCTGGCATCGTCGGCTGTGGCTGCAGCTGTGGCGTTTGAGATGGCGGCGTGGCTGGCTTTATCCTTGGCGATATGGGCGCCGAAAACAACGGCACCTTGAACAAATTATCCGTGGATGTGGGGCTCTTAAATGTTGTTGTTGTCGCTGCTGTTGTTGCCGTTGCTGCTGTTGCCGTTGGCATTGTTTCGGTGTACGTTGCTCTTGGCTCCTCTTCCTCTTCCACGGCATTCGGCAGCTGATCTCTGGCTGTCCAGGCGCTGCTCTTCAGATAGCCCTGCTCATTGAAGCTGTTGTGCGGCCGATGATTGCTGTACAGGGATTTCGGCGGCAGTTCCTCGCCACAAATGCATTCGCCGACGCTCTGATTGCGCTTCGATTCAACCAGCTGAAGGAGAGGGAGAGAGAGAGGGAGAGAGAGAGAGATAGAGAGAGAAATAGCGGTTAGAATCGATTAGAGCGAGAGCAAAAGTAGCAGAATCAAAGAGTACATGAAGGTTCCCAATTGGTTAAGATTCCACTTCACACTCACCTCGAACTGTCGACTCAGCTTGTAGTGCTCTGGCGTATGGATGCGTGTCAGCTCAACGCGATCTGCTTGGTTCACAGTCAGGCCGCAGCCTTCGACAAATTCAATCGTCTCCTCGTCGCTGGCGAAGAGCAGCATTTGGCGTATATATTGGACGGGCAGCAAGGTGAATTCGTATTTGCGCGGTGCTCGATAGGCCTGCACAATGCGATGCATGGCCAGAATGCGCAGTCGAATGAAATAGGTGATCAGAATGCAGGCGCTCAGGTAGCTCGTTTCCGGTTCGCGCAGCAGCTGGAAGAAGCGCACGAAATTGGTGTCCTGCAGCGCCAAGTGGAACTGGATGGCCCGTCGGATTTCCTTGCAGTTCTGCAACTCGACGGGCAGCTGCGAGATGTCCCAGAGAAAATTCGCATCCGCCAGATTGAGCAGCACAATGTAGCCACGGAATTCGGGCTCGCGCGGACACTGGATGCCCTTGAGGCGCAGATCGTGGTACATGTACTTGAGCGTTTGCAAACATTTCGTCAGATTCTCGGCATTGATTTTCGCATCAAAGACGCTGGGATCCTCGGCGACCAGGCGGGCGGCGCAGTGGATGTGGAAGCGTGCGCATTGCTCCACCAGCTTGACGGCGCTGAGGGAGCAGAGCTCTTGCTGGGTAATCTCCTTGCGTATGGAGCGTGTTCGATCCCAAACGAAGTGGAACCAATCGCCCAGATTATCCGTTGTCTCACTGATATCCATTATCTCGTGCATCAGATAGCTCATGGTCATGTGGAGGACGGGTTCAGCGCGCAGCTCATGCGGCAGCGGTGTCTCCTGATCGGCGCTGCTGCGCGAATATTGCTTCAGGGCGAGCTCATGTGCGATCTGATCATCGGTGCCCGGCTTCAGTTCATAAATTGCCACTTGTCGTTGGAATTCACGAAGCACACGTTCCTTTTCAGGACACATGTCCGGGCAGTGGCCCTGTAACCGTTGTGCGTCGGTTGTCGAGCGCTTCTGATTCAGGCGCAACAGTTTGTCACGTGCATCCAAGACGCGATATTTCTCCTCGCTTGTGTACGCCGGCTTGCGCATAACGGCCTCCAGGTCCTGTTTGGCGGTCTTGAATTGAGCGGGTGCACGTTGTCGTTCACGCTCCCGGTCCTTCTCTCTTTCCCGTTCAGCATTGCCACTTGTTGCAGCTGAGGCGATTTTGCTTGAGCCGAAGAGACTTGTAGCTGTAGTCATAGTCTGTGGTTTTGTTGCGTTTGGTTTGCTAGAGCCGTATTCGTTGCGCCAGGTGCCACTCAAGACACTTAGTTCCGCCTGCACATCGGGGTCGACCCATTCCTCAGTCTTCTGGGCCGGCGTGCTCTCGTTCTCTACGTAGCTCATTTCAAACTCGTGACCGTTGTAGATATTACCCTCACGCAGTGCCAAAGCAGCCTCCTCTTCATTGGAATAGCTTACCGTGCAGGTCATGCGCCGGGGACGCAGCACAAAGTTCACCAGGTTGCCGAACCTACTGAAATGCGTGCGCGCCACAAATTTGTCGAGGAAGAGTTCTGGTATGTTTGTGCATCTGCAAGTTAGGATTCGTTATATGCGCGCTAACTGCACTCGAGTACTTACAGCAGTGTCTTGTTGTTGTAGGCAGTGCCTGAGTGTGCATCCGTCATGTCAGAAAATATAAATTTTACGTGAATTTCGTTTTGTTTCTTAGGTTCTTAGCTACTTTTCGCATTCGCAATTGGGCTTGTTTTGGTCACATTGAATATAACCAGTTTCCCACAGAACTATCGAATGAAATGCTTAGATTCGATAATTTTTTCTTTACAGCTTCGAAATATATGGGCACACTGGGATTGGCTGGAAATACGTATGCGCGGTAAGATTTTGTTAGACTCCATTTGGCCAATTGGATGCGAAAAGATAAATATTTTTTAACATAAAAGTTTATTTGTTGGCATACACGGTAAAAATACTTTATGACTGTAACCATAACAATGTAAATCAATGTCTGCGTTTTGTCTTGTTAAATTATTATATTATTAATATGAATAAATAAAATTGTTTTAAGCAACATATTCGATCAGCTGGTATACCATTTTGATATTAAAAATTAATTCATTTAAAAGTGTAAACAGGCAAAATAAAAGAATTTTCGCGCGCATGAAAATACATTCGATATATTTAACAAACAACTATCGCGATTGCAAAAACATCGTCTCGAATTGGCGCTAGTTGGTTAATCGATAAGCCAATATTCCCAGACTTGGCTAGTTGTTGTTGGCATTTAACGCGGAGACAGCGTTCGTAGCGCAGCGCGATGTTCAACGCTAAAGAATTTGTTTTTTTTTTTGTTTTTGTTTTTGAAATTACACGTTAAGAATCACTAAATGATAATTGTGTAGAATCGCTAACGAGTCAAGTGCAAATACCAAAACACATGTAACTGTAGGTGCAATCGCAATAAAAGAGAATGAATTAAAAGCATAAACGACGCTTACCTATAGAAGCGAAGATAACCACGAAACGACGTTGCGAACGGTGCGACGAAAAATGATCGAACGGAATATCTGTGCCACCAGTTGGTAAAAGAGACAATTTAACTTTTCAATAAAGCAAAAAGCTGCTAAAACAAAAAACGCGAGTCAAGCAACCGAATTGTGTATTTTTTTATTTTGAATTTTTTGTTTTTGTGGTGCAACAAAAATTTGCCATTGCCGTTGCAGTTAGCGGTGTGCAGCTGGTATTATTGTTGTTGTCTAACGTGTTTTATTTTTTTGTTGTTGTTGCGTTCGGTTACGACGTTTCCGATGATCTTGGCCTGTTGTTTGCCTTATTTTTTGTTTTGTTGAAATGTTGTTATTGTAACTCGTTTTGCGCGTGTGATTCATACAAGCAACAACAACCGCTAACAGAAAATGCAGTGAAATATGCTAAATGAAATAAACAAAGTAAAAGGCAAAGCGTAAAACAGCTAAAAGAGCGAGACGAGTGCGTTGACGAGTGCATCCTGCATTGAGAGCGCGAGAGATAAAAAACGATAACAAAATAAAACAATATAAAGCGGCGCTCTTTCAAACAAACACACAGACGCATATAGAGAGCAAGAGACACTCGCACACACACATACGCACCTTGAAGCGCGCACGCACACGCGATAGTTCTTTCTGTCTGGTGGTAGGTGAACAAAAAAAAAAAAACGTTTTTTTCCCGTCGTGTGTACAGCTGCTGTCAAGTGCGCAGCCGCAGCAGCGACGCCAAAGTCCTTTAAGCGTGGTAGTGCAGGCCGTCTCGCTTGCTCGCTCGCATGCCACACTGTCCAGCTAGATGAATAGCAACGCGCACGCACACATACAGAAACAGGCAAATAAACGTATGCAGCTGCCTGAGGAGCAGATGAAAGGAGAAGATGATGCCAAAGCCAAATGCCAGTAACAGACAACGACAACAACAACAACAACAACAACAACAGCAAGAACAACGTACGGATGAGCAAAATATGTATCTACATTAATAATAATAACTGCAACAACAACAAGAACAACGACAACGACTGCAACTGCATAAATACATTCCACACAAGTGCATTCTTATTAATATATTTAATTAAAGTGTTATCGAAAAAGTGTTATCGAAACTATGAAGGTTACCGTTTGCTTCGGCGATGTTCGCATTTTGGTGCCTTGCGGCACCGGCGAACTGTTCGTCCGGGATTTGATCAGCGAGGCCACGCGACGCTACAAAAAGGCAGCCGGCAAGGTGAGTAAAATATATATATTATTGCACCCCTCCACCACCACGTCTCCCCCCATAGCATGCACCTCGGTTTTATGGGTTTTCATCCCCCTGTTTAATATCGAACAGCGGAAATGCTGCACTTGAGAGCGTCAGTTGTTTGTGTAATTACGAAAGTCGAACCCAAAAGAAGTCGAAAGTGTATATACATATATATGTATGTATATGAATGCGTGTGCACATGTAATTGTTATCGCCCATTGGAAAGATGGTAGACGAGATCGGAATGTGTGCGAGTGTGCGTGTGTGTGTCTAGGTAAAATATTTGAATAATGATAAGCAGCGACCCAATAAAAAAACGCTCCAAAAAAGCAAAAGAAAGAAACAGTCAACCAAATGAGTTCAAATATTAACACAGTCGAGCGGCTAAGTCGAAGAGTTTATGCTCTTTGAGTCATTTGTATGCAAGCTTTTGAGCGATTATGGATTGTTTACATAAATAACGCTGGTATTATTATTATTATTATTATTAATTTCTCAAAATTATTAATAATGAAATAAAATTTTGTTAATGGTTCTACTGGATCAAAACTCTACGCATTCTTTATGTAAGAGCATTCCTTGAAAAGAAAAGATAGAAATGTATGTAAATGTTAAAAAAAAGAAAGAAGAAAAGATGATAACAACAACAAACAGAATCGAAAAGCCAAGCCGAGGGACAGGGCAGAGCGTAAGCCAAGACCACAGAATAAAAATGAAAATAAAGTAAATAAATACCTTTAAGAACCCAAAGACAGAGCGCATTGTGAACTCGGTTGAACCCGAAAAAGATCTGCTCGTAACTTCTCAACTTCTCAGGGGCAGCCAAATTAAGGGCCCAACCTTCTTCAACCGTCTTTTGCTGCTGCTGCTTCTTCTTCGTCTTGAACATCATCCACATGAGACACGGACAGGTACAACGCGCTGTAATGCACAAGGTAGTGGCAGTGGCAGTGGTAGTGGCAGTGGCAGTGGCAGTAGAGCGCATATAAAGAAGAATAAGACAAATGGTATAGGGTTCTGATTGGGGCAAGGGTTCCGGGCGGCTGGCTGCAGTCCCAGCGCCTTGTAATTAATCAAAAATGCATTCCACTCTAAAAGCCTTAATAAAAACATATATATGTATATTTGTATGTATGTATATAAGTATATACATAGCTATATGCTCCCCAGGGAAAATCAAATCAATTTTTATTATGTTAATCGCAAAGATCATTATGAAGAAGATGAGCATCGTGATGATGATGTTGATAATTAGGCTTTCAAACTGATTAAGCTATTATACATATTTTTGGTGTTTCATTATTTCCGGTTATGAAATTCAATTTTTGTTTTTACGTATAAGCAAAGTTAAAGATTGCTAATACAATAGAAAGGATGTTTTGGATATTTAAAAAAGAAAAGAATGAACGAATTATAAGAAATTAATTACAAAACTTATAAAAATATAAATAAATAAAAAATATAAAAAAATACATAATTAATTATATTTATATATATGTATATATAAAATTGGTTTTAAATTGTTTCAAGTGTTTCTAATGGGGACCACTAATTTATATAAAATATAAGTATATATATCTATTTGATTAATATATATCAACTGTGTACATATGTATATGCATATTATATAGAAATTTCTATATATATTTCTAGAGTCGATTTATGCATTCTAGATACTATATACGATCACTTTCTAATACAGAGATCTGTTATATGATAGATAGTGATCTATGTTTTTCCTCTATTTTCCATATATATAATCAATCATATTCAATCAGTAAAAACTGCAACTCTATGCAATTATGACTAGTATGAATATATATATATATATATAACTGTAGCATCCATCCAACGCCTAGTCCGACTTGCTTCAGTAGAGCACTCTGAACTATTATTATTATTTCTCTTCGTGTTGTTGTTGTGCTTAGCGGAGTGCAACGTGTGAATTTGGCAGAGATCTAGCCACACTCTCAATTGTTTTCTGAGTGAGTGGCTCGCCGCCAATACGAAAAAAAACTGTGCCAGCTGCAAATTGTGAAGCTCTTTAAAGAAATAAAGCAGATAAGAGGGCGCTTTCCATTTCGCGATCACGTGTATGAGCTGCGCGAAGAGAGACCGAAAAGTAAGACCCAGACTTCGACCCAGACCCAGACCCCGAGCCAGACCCAGACCCAGTGCCAGAGCTAGAGCCACATGCTACATCGCTCTCTCTGTATTATATTTGTATGTATGTATGTATATATATGTATCTATCTGCGTCTCGACAGCTCTAAGCGGCGAACTTGCTAATTATGCAATTTAATGCCTCAACGGCATAGAAATTGCAACATCAACAAAAAACAAGAAAAAAAAAAAAAAAAAACAAAATTAAAAATTAAAAAAGAAATATAACTTTGGCTCTGATTTCAAATTCTCTCACATGACATGACGGCTATCATCAGCCGTTGGCAACAGACTCTTCTCCCCCCCTCTCGCTCTTTCGCTACCCTTTGCTATGAATGGATTCGCTTTCGCAGCTGCTATTTCTCTTGGTATTTGGCTCAATCTCAGAGCAGCACAAAGCGATCCCAACACCATTTTAACTGGTGCAAATTTGCAGCGATTGCATTCATGTTTTGGCATGCCGAGTGCGTATTATGGCAAATGCAGCTAATTGCAAATTTATTGCCATACAAAACTCCGGGTAAATGCAATATAAACAGATTTGGGGTTCTCTTTGTATATGAATTCCAAACTAATGAAACATCATATTTCCAGGTAATCTTAATCAATTTACATAATTTAAAGAACAGAAAAAAAAAACCAATAAATTCCTTATGAATTCTATGGAAAATGGTTTATGCTTAGTAGACAAATTTAGTTTCGAATAGTATATGAAATTTATGCCGTAGTTCTTAAAATGTCTTAAACTATTATCTTTGAGTTTTGAGAGATCTTTACTATACTATATCTCAATATATCTTGTGCTATATTATACTTATACTACACTATATTATACTATGCTTATCTTAAGTTTATTTATTAATAGATTTAGCTTAGTCTTAATTGATCTTATGGTCTTATCTTCATGACCTTTCATAACTCTGCTTATTATTAGAATAAATGTTAGATATTAATATGTCGAGCGATCTTTCTTCAGGACCCATCCACATATCTTAATAGATAGTAATAATAATAATAGTAAATAAATCTTTATATATTTTAATAGGTCTACTGCTTTATCTTCAGGTCCTATCTTAACTTTGACTATTAAAAGATCTTGATAGATATTAATCGATCTACTACTATAATCAAAGCCTATTTTGATATTGAATATAATGAAACCTAAACATATCTTTATAGATCTGCTTAAATATCAATATATAATGCAATCGTATGATTTGAATTTCCAAATACCCAAGGAAAATGGCTTAACATAATCAAATCCTTTTGGCTGCCACTGGTTCCTATGGTTCCCAGGCATAAGTCGTTCGCTAGCCAAGGCCCAATCAAGTTCTTTGGTGTGAGCCCAAACCGCATTCCCGAGCAAATTGATTATATAATAAATTCGAATGAATGCTGTTGAATCAATTTCCCTTTGTCGCTATAGGATGCCCTCTCTCTCTCTCTCTCTCTCTATCTCTCTCTGTCTTAGTCTTTGCCTCTTTGTCTCTCTTTCTCTCAGTGCGTTCGGTGGGCGTTTTTATCGCCTTATCGCTAGAGCTCCGAGTTGGGCCAGGCGATCAACTGGGCAACCAGGCAACCAGGCAACTGGACAATCCAACAAGTTGGCCAAGTGGCCAACTGGTAACTGGTAACTGGGCGTGCCATTTGACTCATTTCTGTTTGTTTTCATTTCTTTTTTTTTTTTTTTGGGTCTTGTTCTTTGTGATTTTGGCACAGAGAACCGTCTGGGGAATCGCTCTGGAGGCGAGCAGAGACGACGACGACGACGACGGCGGCGGCTGCTGCTGAAAAAGATTCATTGAGCATTCAGTTGTTGTCGCTGTTGTTGAATTCTTTTGGCCACTGTTTAAAACCAGTTTTGCGCAATTTGTAAATTATTTCGTCATGGCAACAATAACAGCAGCAACAACAACAGCAACAACAACACCAACTCAAATTCAGTGAGAGCAAATATTCAATGAAACGCTTTCGAAGCAGGCGCAAAAATATTTTGCCAGTAAAATATTTGAAAATTTGCGCACGCTAATTGTAGCGCATTTTAAGTGCGCTCTAATTGGACCGCACACTTACGTTCGATTGGAAAAGTAAAAAAAAATATTAAAAAAAAAAAATATATATTTATATTTAAAAAAAAAAAACGCCTCAACAATCGACACTCCACACACCTGGACGAGAGCAGCAAGAAATGGGCACAATAATTAGAATTATGAATGAGAAGCAGAATGAGAAACCAACTAATGTATGTATATGGGTGCCCTATGCTGTTAGTTTTTATGGCTGAATGCAAATTGATGTGAAACTGATTCACTTTGCATTCAAACACGTTCTGCTACAGAACTGAAACTGAATAGGTTTCTTATTGGCTGATCGAGCGTATTCGCTAATCGTCTCAGTTTGACTTCATTAAGTGCCCCCACTTAACTCATTTCGCATGGCTAAGGATAACAAGCTGAGTATTTCACAAATCGTTGCAAGGTGTTTGCTGCAGCACTCTTGATAATTGGTTGATATTGGCCAGCGGCTACTATAGAGAGATAAAAAAAAAAAAAGGAAAATGAAAAATTATAATAAAAACATAAAAAATATTTTCTATGTACATAACCGGAAATCTAAAACAGGTTTTACGCAACACCAACCGCACTTTGTTGCGCCCTCGCCGCTCCCTCCTTCGCTCTGTTGGCCAACAAGATGATGGGTCCAAACAAATAGCAAAGCAAACTCAATGCATAGAACAAACGCAGATCTATTATGAAATGAAATAATCAAAATACAATTAGTTCTATATATAATGCTGATCATAGTTGAGCTCAATGAGC